AGCATCACAGCTACGATCATCCTCTATCTCAGCAGCCAAGTGCAAGTGAGAGCAGGTCTCACAGGTAAAGACCCAAATTGTCCTCTGCTGATCAGAGGAGCTCATAATAGCTAGTCCAAGCAGTGAAGAGAAGCAGAAGTCCTCTGCTCCTTGCCTGTTCCCTTCCTACAATGAGCCCACTGCCCTGTGGGTGTGAAGACAGCAGCTTGGGCTCTGCTGTCTTTTCTTCAGATGCCCGCTCTTGCCGCAGGCTGCATGGACAGAGGACCAACAGAAATATGTTACTCCCCCTTTTATTCTGGACCCATTAATGCCTTTATTGCTGCTCCCAGGCTGTGTATATTGTTTTTTTCATCACCAGGAGCCTCTCCATCCAGTGTCAGGCTATTGGACTGGCAAATCAAGAGTGTGTGGTTTTCCCCTGCTCTGTTTTTGGGGTTTTCTGGCCAGTGGAGCTTGGTGTTTGAGATCTTCTGGCCTTGTTTTAGCTATCAAGGTCAGATGAATGTGGAATCTGAATCTTCATGAATATCATTATGCTCCAGAATTTTCCCAAATTCTGCATGCTGGGACCTTTTCAGATCCTTTGCAAGGCTACTCATCTTGAAAAATAAAATAAATTGGTAAATCTCCATTCCAATTGCAGAAGATAGAATCTCGGCAGCTCACAAAAAAGTGAAAATATGCAAAGTAAACAGATTGTTTCTGACAGTAACAACCCTGCGATTGCATAAAGCATCATCAAATTGCAACATGCATGTATTAAGCTTTGAGAACAACTGAATTCACAGTGACACATTCTCAGCTCTTGAATTCATTATCACACCTGCTCAGCTTGGAGATTTGCAGTATCGTACCTTGTTCTCAAAGGTGGCCTCCAAAGGAGTGCTATATTATCAAGGTAATCTCATTTGGGTTCAATTTTCTGAATTTCTTTCTGATTTCTTTCTTTCTGTATGGAGAATTGTAGCAAGGGCAGGGGAAAAGGGTACCAAATAGAGGTAAATATATGCAAACTCTTCTTTGGGTGCTGCCATCTGAAAAGATGCCCATAGCAGGTCCATAAGTGCTGCTGAAAGGAGATTGGAAAATGGGAATGTGCTGCAGTGCCATCAAATCGTGCTGTAACTCCAGCTGTAGAGAGCCCAGCTGAGCTGATCCAAGTGCACATTTCCCTCTATAATTTAGAGCAGTTAGCTTTATTAAATAGAAGTTCCTAGGAACAAAAAAACACAACTAAACCCAAGAATCTAATTTATTGGGCAAATAGCAAGAACTAATCACCAGAGAAGAAGCTTTTTAAAACAAAACAAAAAAATTCTCTGGGCATAGCAGCTGAGCTGCCAGCCCCCTAATAAACACAGTCATCCAAGTACAAAGAAATCCATATTTCATGACAGTGCTACAGTTTTGATCCTGGACTTTTTGCTAGGGATTCTTTCAGTCAACATGTTAATGGATACTCTTACAGGCTATTATTTTTAGTAGTCTAATATATTAATGTGCTGTAGAATTTAAAGTATGTTTAATTGCTGTGACTTCTGTAGTTCTACCAGGTAGTCTATTGAAGTATTTTCCCACTTATTTTAACAAAACATATATGCACAGACTTATACTTTACGCTTGTCAGTAGATGTCATTAATGTGTATATAAATAATTTTATATGGTTGTCTTTTCCAGAAGTAGTTATTGTTGTTATGGTTAAAATGTGAGAGTTCCCTTGTAACAGTATTTATTTAAGGTCAGAATTAAGGTTATGATGCATTGCAATATGCTGTTTATAAAGCAGATGTGTATTGAACCAGCACACTATTTATTGTGTATTTATATCAATTTCCTTGATTTTATGTAATTGATACTTGGAGATGAGACAGTTGATATATTTATGAAAAAAACTTGAAGCTGTTAAAGGGTTTTTGTTTTTGTTTGTTTTGGTTCACTCTAATGTGGTTTTTTACCCATTTCATTTTCTTATTTCTCACATATGTACTAAGTACATTTTTCCAATGAGAAAACTATTTCCTTTCATGAAAGGCTCCATGTCATTATAGTAAACGGCAGCAGCATAGTCAATGCCAAAAATGGCTGGGAACTGACAGACATATATCTGCAGTGAAAGGTCTGTCAAGGTCTTGCAGAAGCAGCTGGGCAGAGAGGAGTCACCCAAGCCACCTCTCCGAGGGGGCATTGAAATGCAGCACTCTCTTGCACTGCAGGAATGTGTGTGAGCAGTGCAGCATCTGAAAGCAGTCATCTTCTGTCTTTAAAACAACCCCCTCCTGCTGCTGCTTCCACTCTTTTCACACACTCATATACATGGGAGGGAGCATACAAATTAAAAATCATGATGAATTAGAAAAAGAAAAATGACATGAAGACTTCTCATCCCTATTGGAGAGAAGAATGTTGCAGTCCTATTGAATTTCACATTTTCAGTGCAACTGTCTTGCTCAAAAATGCAGATTAAACCATTATCAGTTTGTGACACTGTTTCATACCTGATTTCTGTTCAAATTGCTAGTCCTGTTTGTTTTTTCTTTCTGTAAACCAAGTATCTCCATTTTCAGGCATAAAAGGAGAGAAACAATAGAGAGACATAGAGAAAATTTTGCCTTTAATTCCATGCTCTAAGAAAATTAGCTGCCTATACACCAGTCCATGCCACTTTGAAGGTGTAAGTACATTTGGATCATGTTGTTAAGTAGGCCTGTATTTTGTATTTCATAGGGATAGTTGTAATATGTCAGTCACTTTAGCCAGCTTTTTAACAAGACTGGTCTTTATGCCTTAGGATTGTAGGTAAGGCTAGGAGCGTTACACTACTGCAAGATGTCCTCATGAAACTTCCATGTGCAATCAGCTTTAGAGTTAGAAGTGGTCATCTGCTCCTGTGGTCTTCACTGTAACCAAAGGCTCTCAACAGCTCCTGGGAATAAAATCTTGCGCACAGGTCCTGCCCAGTTATAGCTCATTATCACACAGTAATGTTGATCACATCTTCTTACCCTGAATGATAAACAAATACAAAGATCCAGATATACATTGCTCTGCTTTGCCACTACTTTTGCATTATATACAGGATCATAGAATGGTTTGGGTTGGGGACCTTAAGATCAACTACTTCCACCCCCCCTGCATGGGCAGGAATCATAAAATCATAGAATAGTTAGGGTTGGAAAGGACCTTAAGACGGTCAAGTTCCAGCCCCCCTGTCATGGGCAGGGACACCTCGCTCTAAACCATATCACCCAAGGCCTTGTCCAGCCTGGCCTTGAACACTGCCAGGGATGGAGCATTCACAGCCTCCCTGGGCAACCTATTCCAGTGCTTCACCACCCTAACAGGAAAAAATTTCCTTCTTATATCCAATCTAAACTTCCCCTGTTTAAGTTTTAACCCATTAACCCTTGTCCTATCACTACAGTCCCTAATGAAGAGTCCATCCCCAGCATCCCTATAGCCCCCTTTCAGATACTGGAAGGCTGCTATGAGGTTTCCATGCAGCCTTCTCTTCTCCAGGCTGAACAGCCCCAACTTTCTCAGCCAACCTTCATATGGGAGGTGCTCCAGTCCCCTGATATCCTCATGGCCCTCCTCTGGACTTGTTCCAACAGTTCCATGTCCTTTTTATGTTGACACCAGAACTGCACACAATACTCCAAGTGAGGTCTCACGAGAGCAGAATAAAGGGGCAGGATCACCTCCTTCGACCTGCTGGTCACGCTCCTTTTGATGCAGCTCAGGATACGGTTGGCTTTCTGGGCTGCAAGTGCACACTGAAGCCGGCTCATGTTCATTTCTCATCGAGCAGCACCCCCAAGTCCTTCTCCACAGGGCTGCTCTGAATCTCTTCTCTGCCCAACCTGTAGCTGTGTCTGGGATTGCTCTGACCCAGGTGTAGGACCTTGCACTTGCCATGGTTAAACTTCATGAGGTTGGCATCAAGGTCCCTCTGGATGGCATTCCTTCCCTCCAGTGTATCAACCGAACCACACAGCTTGGTGTCATTGGCAAATGTGCTGAGGGCACACTCAATCCCACTGTCCATGACAGCGACAAAGATGTTAAACAAGACCGGTCCCAACACCGATCCCTGAGGAACACCACTCGTTACTGGTCTCCAGCTGGACATTGAGCCATTGACCACAACTGTTTCTGTGCGGCATCCAGCCAGTTCTTTATCCACCGAGTGGTCCATCCATCAAATTGATGTCCATGTCTCCCAAGGCTCTGTCCAACCTGGCCTTGAACACTGATAGGGATGGAGCATATATCACCATATATATCTGTCTGTCAAAAAATACGTTTTACTACAAATGGTTCCGATACTTTGTATTGAGATACATTTTCATGTAAATGTGTAAGAAGGCCATTTGTATACTTACAGGCAAATAGGGTTTGCATTTATTACAGCATTTCAATTCCTATTAGAATTCAAGAGTTATTTTTTTTATTATATTCACAGGGTCTGTGGTGTACTGTTTTAGTCCTTGATTTAAATGATTATCATCAATAATTGCATTTCTAAAGCAGTAATACTTGAGTAAAAAGACTTAGAAAGAATGCAGCACAACATGGACTATATTTTAGGACTATTTCTTCTCACAGAAATGCTTCTTTAATCTTTGGGCCAACGTTGATCTCACATTACTGCAGGTATGTTACAGTGTAATAAGATTAAATCTGTGATTTAGCCACCCTTACCATTGCTTTAGAAGCAAACATACACCTATATACCTTCATACAAGCTTTGTTATACTAAGCTGCTCATCTCCACCAAACAGTGTTATGCTAGAACAGAGGGTGGCTGACACAGCTCCTAGCGTGCTTGGTACTAACCAAAGCCCCCAGCAGCTTGAGAAAAGCTGCAATGGTATCAGCTGCAGACAGGGATGCTCAGCAACCCTAAGGGGGGCAAGAGAGCAGCTGGGTGTGTGGCATGGCACTTGGAGCAGATGCATTGCATTACCATCATCACAAGCCATATAAAGACTTGGGAAGGCGCAGGAGAGTTGGTTTCTTTAGGCTTGGTGTCTCTGTGTTGGTGGGCAGGTTTTTGCTTATTTAAAGTCTTCTGATCTGGTTCTTTGTTCACGGGTTTGTTATGGTGGTGGCCATGAAGGGTGCTTTGCCAAAGACTTTCTTTTGGATTAGCGTGGGGCCTGTTCTTTAGTCCCTCTATGGCTTGAGAGGCTGTGTCTCTTCTGCATCTGCTGGAAGAAGAGTGGGAATTTGTGCTTCTTCCCTCAGGTGACGTTTCACTTCATTTTCTCACTTGGGCACCTTGTAGTGTGGCTTTGTAGTGTGGTTTTTAACAGTGGTGGACCAAGTGCAGCATTGGTGGGGGATGAGCATACTCCAAATATTTTCTGCCCAGGGAGTGAAAAACCAGTGTTGCTGTATTGCTCTGTGTATCCCTATTGTGACTGTGTTACTCTCATTGTAGGGATGAGACCAGTTCTCAAAGAAACTGCTTGTATGCTAAAGAAATTAGGGTAAAGTTTGACTGACAAAGCTCAGTTAAGAAATCTCAATGCAATGGTATGAAATAAGACTATAGATGAGGAAGCAAATGCAGATGCTCTAAATGACTAGTTGTCATGAAATAACAAATAATGTTATTAGCTGTTATAAAAGAAGTTCCACCTGTTTTATTGCTAGTTTAAATTCACTGGCTTCTTTAGATCCTGTTCTAATTTACGCAGGACTGAAACTCTCCCTTTGTAGCCATGGCTGTGTTGAATTTTCTGCCACCTCAGTGGTTGCATGCTGATGCAACTGTACCGTACACTGCAGACAAGGAAAGCTGCAGTTTGTGTTGATGAAGTTCAATGTGGTTTTGAGCAGGAGGTCGAGTCTGATGATGGTCATGGTTGCTCTGTCTGTCTTTGCTTCAAGTTTACGTTGAGTTATCTGTGTCAGTGACTGAATGCCAGTTGCTACAATGAAGAGAATTCCTAGAGTATGTTAGGTTTAAGTCTTGTCTTTGATTTCAAAGAAGGCAGCTCCTTTTAACCACAGAATGTAAAGCCTCTGTGTCCTTTTTTCCTGCTATTGCATGCTGCTGTTACTTTGAATATTCAATTATATATATTTTTTTAATGTGTTGTAGACAGAATTGTGAAGAAGGGAAATGAGAAGTGCCTCTGTTGGGTGACATCAAACTCATGTCTGGTACCAACAAATGTGGTGAGTAACATAGTTTTAATTCTTCTACCTTGTATTTTTTTAGACTTCCTGTAGTAACTTACACAAAAATAAGTAAAATATATCTGCCAGTCATGAGCACACAATTGAAAATATACTGTCTCAAGGAAACTTCTGATGTTTATTATTCAGTGACTATAAATGCTGGTTCAGGTTCTCTTCAAAACAAAAGTGAAGTTAAAACTGCAGACCTGCAAAGCTGGAGAAGTGGGGCTTTCCTCTGTCTTCCTCTCATAAATGTGATTATAAACGAAGTAAATACATGGTTGCTCATCTGAAATGAGAACGTATTTAGTACTGCTTTGGAATACTTTTTTGGGGGAGAGCACAGAGAAGATTTAATTGTTGCTTTTAAAAAACTTGATGTTAGCTTTTTGAAAGGGTTTGACTAACCTGCCAGTACTTGGTTCACTTAACAGCAGGAAAGTGCATTGTACTCTTTGAAAAAGTGACAAAAGTACGTGCCTTTTATGACTTCTATTAATAACTGGCTTATATTTATTGTCCAATATGAATTTAGTATAGGATGTTGTGTTATTTTAATTTTAGCTCTGCTATGGTTGCTGTTTAGTTTTCCTGTATTTGCTCTCCTGAATATCCTTAAAAGAGGCTTATTATGAAGAAATAGTTTTGACTCTTATACTCTGTATTGGTAAGTGGAGGGAGTGGGAAGTAACAGGATCAAGTCCTCAGTGTGAACCTGAATAATGCACAGATTTTAAACAGAAGGGGTTTCAGTTTACCATCCTTGTGGTCCTTTCCCATTGATTCTACCACTGGCAAAGTCAGGTGAAGTTTCGATATTGGCTACAAAACCTCAGAATTGACCTGTAAGTCCTCATTTCCAGTAGATTATCTACTACCTTCTGATGCTTTTAGGTGATGTTGTTTGAAGCCCCTTAGATGTTTATGCATGCACAGTTTTTGCATCCAAAGTGTTTTGCTGTCTTAAAGAATGAGGTAGGGAAGCCATAGAAGAAACTTAAGGAATCACATGCATCTTTTGTAGGTCAAGGGGAGGTGTTGAGGGGTGGCTGAGGCTTTGTAGAGTTTGAGCTCACACCTGGGTCCCTTGAGTATTATAGCTGGGTATCAGATTGTACAGTCATGATGTAATGGAGGCAGTTATGCCCTCAGCTCTGGTCCTGCTGGAAATTGGGAATCAGTCCTGAAACTAATTTTTATGTGACTGATGGTAATGATAGTAATTGCTAACACTGAGCTGAGGTTAATGCTCCCAAACATTTGTATTTTCAAGTGTCTGGGACTGATGTTATCCCCTTGAGGGTATTGATAAAGAAGGGATTCCTTTCACTGTCAGGTATTTGATGTGAAACTACTAAAGAAGCCAGTAGAGTTTTAGATTTGTCAAGTGCTGTATGATGCTATGTGTTAGTTTCTACTTTGTGGTTGAACATCAATGAAATACTGATAATGTGTAGTAGAAATTTGTGGTCAGGTGATGACTGAAACTTTTTTATCACAGAGCAGAAGAGTCTTGGAGATTAAGAATGCATGATTTGAGTAAAGACTTCAACAGACAATTTTTTTTGAGGTGTTGCGTAGAACCATTTTTCAGTTTTTGATGTGTTTTAAGCAGCTTCAGGGCAGTCATGCTATGATTCATCATAGCTTAGTGAGTTGTAATGTAACATATAATCAGTCATATTCAGATTAATGGCTTGATTAAATTAGGAAAAGTATGCATACACTGCATTTTAAACTATTTTAAAATAGTAGTGTATAGTAATGAACTAAGCTAGTCTTTTGTATTACCTGCCTTATTAGAGTAATAATGTGCGTATCTTGTTTTGCAGTATGGTTACAAACACTTTTTGACATGTAAATTCACTCATATTCTGCACGCTGCTATTGATTTTTACAAAAGAGAATTGGTTCATTTGACCTACCTTTGATATTTTTTATTGTTTTGTTTTCAAGAAAATCAATATAATAAAGTAATTCTTTCCTGCTCTCCTCTTCTTCACTAAGCTCTTTTGAAAACAGTCAGAAAATGTCTTCTCTTCAATTATTTCAGACTTGTTTGCATTAAATCCTTTCAAAGGGACCCATGTAAATGTGCTTCTTTAATCGGGATGTCTCCCTGTGATATAAGCTAAATAAAATTTTGCATTTAAGGTGAGTAAGAACCAGTTATGGAGAAAATTGTCCAATATATGTTTCATCCTAATTTCTTTTCATGCAAAACCTGCTCCAGCTCTAAAGTAGGATACGAGCTTGATACAATATGCATAATTCATGTTTTCGGCCTTCTGTCTGCCCTTCTTTTTCTGGAATCCTACATATTTAGATTAGGTAAAATTATTCTTTCCTCCTATGGAAACAGTTTGTTGTCAAGCAATGCAATGCAACATATAACATAGACTACTTAGGGCAAAGTGCTGTTCTTGGATCTGCATGACAAATGCTGACTTCAGCATTATTTTAGAGTTCCGTACGTTTAGGAAGATTACAATAACAACATTGTGAACAGAATTTCTCAGATGTTGTAGTAATTAATCTCACTTTTAATAGAGGCTGATGTGACAATATAGCTATTCTAGAAGTTTTGCCAGCTGGTGGTTTTGATTACAGTTGAATGTAGCTGTTGCTCACTACTGGTTAAAAATCATCTGCTGGCTCTATGGCTCAGATATCATTTACGAAGCCAAAAGCCATTTTCTGCTGCTGAGCAGGAACCTTGCTTGTGCTGACACATTGCTTCATATGGAGGATCAGACTGAAGTTACTGTGCTGCAGTGTGGATAAAGGAATGAGGCAGTTCCCTGCCTCTGACAGCCATTTGGTTGCCCTTAAGTGTCTTTACCAGCTGGGGAGAGTGAGACAGCTAGGACTTCTCTTTGCAGAACTAGATGTTTTCTCCCACACAATATAGAGGTCTCGTTTAGGAAGTTCAGCTCTGTGTTAATCCAGGTAGTGGTCTAGTGATGACTTCTTAGAAAGAATGGGATACTTTGCACCACCTTGACAATGCTTAGCAGTATTTCTGTTGTAATTCAGTGGTACCAGTGAAAGTACCAGAAATAAGACTGTGCAGCGTATCAGACAGCTTTGATACTCATTACATGAGCTCTGATACAAAGTCTGTATGTAGCTTAAATCCAGTTCTCTGTTACATATTTCAATTATTGTAAAATCCTTATAATTGTATTTTTGAGATTTCCCAACAAAGTATGTTAAATCTCATAATCCTTCAAGGTTGTAGTTTAGAACAACATACCTCTGAGCTACTGAAATTTGAGCAAGTCAAATATGATTTACCAAATGAAAAAGTGTGAAATTTGGCATTACCACTCTTTGAAAAACAGCATGCTTGTTTTTCATAGTTTTTCATTCTTTTTCAGTGATCTGGAGGCACAGAGAGAAAAACTCCTTATGAGAAACATTATATCAGATATTGTCCAATTCAAATGTGGTCGTGTGAGATGCTACCATATGAAAGAAAAGTAGTTGAATTTGATTGAAAATAAATGTTTACTATAAAACACTTTATGGCTCTGACATCAAAAGGGTACTATCATTTCAACAATAAAAGATTCCAAAAAGACCAAGTTAAAAAATGGACTCTTGGTTTTGGGAATTTAAATGCTCACCTTCATTTGCGATTCAACTGGTGATAATGTTGTTCAAACTTACCAGCAAACGGAGAAGTTGAACTTCTTTTTATATGTTACTATTATAATTTCCATTTTAAACAGATTTTTGAACTAAGCTATTCCAAATTATTCACAAAGGGAAATAGTTATTAAATATTAATGAATACCCCTATTTCACTTAAGTCTTTTCCTTCTGTAATTTTGTGAGATCACAATTAATATACCTGA